GTTGTTGTTGTTGTAGTCATCTCTGTTGTCTTGATCGTGATCTTATGGGAAACTGTTGTGCTGATTATTGATTATTATTATTATTCTTGAATGTCATGTTGTGTTGTTATGTATGTGCATGCATATTGGCTTTGTATTCTCCCGGTTAAAAAATATCTTCTTGTTTTAAACGTTTAGAAGACTCAAAAAAAGGAGATTCTGCAAAGAATATTCTTCGCGATAATTTTTCTTCATCTGGCTGTACTGTTGTATGCATACCTAATGTTTGAGTAGCGATTGTTAGTTACAGCACTGATGTTTTTTTCATATATATATATATATATATATATACATATATAATATCGAGTTACTAAGGTCAATAGAATTGCAGTTCGCAAAAGCATGTGTGTGATAACCCATAAATACAACAAAATACAATAACGCAAGGCATAAAGAATCCAGCCAAAAAAGAAGCATTCATTGCAACAGAGGTACACTGTCTTTTCACGACATTACTAAGTTTACTAACTCGCTAGTTTTCTAGGCGTTATTAACTCCAGGTAGGGAGGGAAGTCTTGGCGTTTGGCTAGCCCGTTTACCCCAGAAAATCAATCCAGGTGCTACAGAAACTTCAAATCACAAGAAAAAAAAATGAACAACAAAATTAATCCTCTCTGGAATTACAAGGGACGGAATGACGCGGGCTGGTGAAAGCCTTCGCAAGCTTGTCAGCCAACCGATTTGTCTTCTTGTGATAAAGGCAAGAATAAGGTTGGAGATGTGGAATGTTCGTACTATGTATGAAGTTGAGAAGGCTGCCCAGGTTGTCGGCGAAATGAGAAGATACGGCATAAAAGTACCGGGTATCTGTGACAGCAGGTGAAATGGATTTGAACTATCCAAACTGTCAACTGGAAAGTCAATAATCTACTCTGATTGCTTAGACGACAACCACGAACACTCCGAGGGAGTGGTTATAATGATTTCACCAGTGGCAACCAAAGTCCTAGTGCAGTGGGAACCAATTTCATCCAGGATCATGACGGTAAGATTCAACTCAAATGGAAGGAAGGTCACAATTATCAAATGCTACAAACCTACAAACAACATGGAACAAAAGAGTAAGGGAGATTTTTACAGACAACTGAAAACAGTAATGGACGACATCCGAAATGGTGACATTGAAATCTTCATGGGCGGCGATATGAATTCCAGCTGAACTGGGAGCATATAATACAGAAAAAGAATTCATCATGGGTCCAGATGCTCTGGCTCGGAGAAATGATTGAGGACGGAGAACTGTTCGGAGACTTCTGTGCTTTCAATGGTTTGGTGATCCAAGTCTGTTTGTACAAACGCAAGGCGACATAAATTTCTCCTGATGAATACATCACAAACCAGATAGACTTCATCTCAGTCATGCTCAAAAGGAGACTGTCGAATGACACCACACACCAGGGTATTACTTCAGTAGAACCCGAATGGGAAACGATGAGTTGTTTGAGTATCCTCAGGTGACATGGAGGAGATCCTGCAAGAAGAAGATAAGAAACTATAGGCGATTATTGGGGCCAGCTAATGAAGACTGCAGAGAGTGGGACAAGCTAGAGATGTGTTATTTGAAACTGTATGTCCCACTCAGAATCCAAGGGAACAATAAGAACACCTAATTTCACCTTCTCTACCCAGTGAGTCAGTACAAGGGATCCTGTGGAGCTAATTACATTTGGCAGTATTACATATCTCAACATCATCCTGTGTGGCGAAACAAGTGACAGACAAGGTTTATTCCTAGTTCTGTTTTTTAGCTCATCTTATAGGTACTGAACACAAACTCGATGTTAACAATACATTTGATGAAGGTATTCACCATGTTCTGACTAATCCTAATTTTACCTTACAAGCTCTTCTTCTTCTTCCGCATAGATCTGAAGTCATCTAAGCCCACTTTTGAAGCCCTATGACCCTTTTACAATGCTAACATTGTTTTAACTATCACTAATTTTTACATTCGCCTTTTTTTACGTCATTTTATCTGGTTTTCAGTTCAGCATTACAAATTGATGTATATTTCCAAGTGAAACTATTTTGAACTGTAATTCTATTCATCTTAACAACTCGATATTCTTATATTCAAATCAGTTTGGTGGATGATGGACAACAGTGGATTCTACCATGATGCGCATTTCATCCTTCTTGTAGGACTCATCATTTGGATATACCTGCATTCCTCAGTAAATGAATGATGGTATTCCCAGTGGAAGCTCGAACCTAGCAGCCATCTAATTCAAATGCCAAATTGTTATCCACTAGACTACTTGGGCCACGAAAGCCACCATTCCTTGTGCTGACGGTTGTTGGTTATTATTTACTTTTAATTCAATTTGGATTTTTCCCCTTGACTAACATGTTGACTTCTAGTGAGGATGCTTCAACGAACTAATTTGGTGAATGGTGACTTCAAGTTAAATCCCCTTAGACATTGTTGGAACGTCCACACTAGAAGGTTGACATATCAACAGAGGTCAAATATTTTGATCCAACCAATCAATGGGACGATCCAAATTCAGTATAAAAAACCTAAAACATTAGTGTTATCAATAACAGTCGGTGACATAGCGGTTAGGACACTTGCCGACCATGCACATGGTCATGGGGTTCAATCCTTGGCCAACGCACTCCTTTACCTTGTTAAGCCAGAAATAATGCTGGTAAAGAGGAAAGGTTGAGCAATCCCATCCTGTAAAATAAACACTGCTGCAGAAACTTCAAGTCACTAGCTTGAAGCCCTATGTTCCACTGGGGAACGTGAAGGAAAAAAAGTAACATATGATATATATATATAGATAACTTTGGAACCAGATGAGGATTTTGTCGGAAATGCGAATATTCCTTGCTTTTTTAACAATTGATATGCATGTTTATGTGTTGCCTATGATTGCCTATATAAGCTGTTGACATTATAAAGAGCTCATTGTGTCTGTTCATAAACTGTTATTAAAATGCATGAAAATTATCTTTTGTGAATGTCATGCATGTTTACTTGTGATTGTTGATAATGATAATGATTTTCTGTTTACCAGTGACTAAAGATACTATCTACTGGCGCCAGGCTACGGTTATCATATTTATGCACACCCATCCGAAAACTAATAGAATTGAGACAAGTAGTTCAGTGAAAAAGCTCATTTTCCTATTGAGCAGCCGTTCAGTGAAGAGTTACCTTTTTCGACGATATTATTCTCAAGCTGCACAATCGCATATTATTATTATTATTTTTTATTCCCTTGGGCTCCGTCCGAGTGGTACTTCAACTACACATCTAGGCTTTGTTCTATTTTCTGCCATCCTCTTCAGCTGGCAAGCTTCATGATTGCCCATAATCTCTCCTCTCCTTTTCTCCAAAAGATTTTCTCCATGTCACCCTTGCACTGACGACTCACTCGTCGCTTCCCATTCGGATTCCACTCGAACAATGGCTGCCTACCGCGTGGTATCATTCGACGGCTTCTCCACTATATGCCCGATCCATCTCAAATTTCTCCTACACATATTTGTTGAACGATCAAATATTGGTTGGTTTGTTCCCAGAGTTTCTTGTTACTAATTCTCTCTATCTGGCCGTTTGAGATCTTCACTATAGAGACAGCCGGTGAAGGTGGCAGCTGTTAAATGACAGTCTGCAACCAGCTGTTGGAAATCCTTTTAGTTACATGAAGTGCACGTTTCTGACCTGTATAGAAGGATGCCTCCTTCCTTATGCTGACTGCGAAAGACTTCCAAACTGGTTTCAGGTTGATGAAGGCGTGTGTATCTTGCCTTTCTGATTCTGACTGGCTGACTTTAACATCTTCGTCTACTCCGAATTCCTGTAGTTGAAACGATGCTTCCCAGATAACTGAAGGAAGCAACCTCTGTCAAATCTCTACCGTGGATGGTGATTAGTGCTGGTTGGTGTTGTTGTTGTTGTTGCTGCTGCTGTTGGTTGGTTGGTTGGTTATCTTCATCACCTACACAATCGCATATGACTGACTGAATTTTCTTCATTCTACTGCGTTCGAAGTAGGATACTGAGCCTGAAAGTCTACACTTTATAGTGTCAGTAGCGTTTGTATTTGTTTGAATTTTACGGGGTCTGAGTGCTGCACTAGCCTCACACCTAGGCTTTTTCCCTTCCACAAGCTTACTATCTTTTAGCAGACTTAGGTAAGCCTAGCAGTATGTCGGCTAGGAATCGAATTCTAGAGGACACACATATATATATGGTTAGTGAAGATTTTACTGCTGGACCACCGAATTGATATTACAGCCGGATATAAATGACCCAACTGTATACCCTTATACCTGGATGCTTTACTTCAGAGTTCCTAGCTTCGTCAAATACCATAGAGAAGTATTTTTTTTCTCACTAGATTACTGAATAAGGTGTTTATTCATCTGCTGGAAGTGACCGGAACTCTTTGATATGCTCTAGTGAATAATGAGAGAAATGTGACTGTATATGAAGAATCTTTATTCAGTTTTATTGACTTATTGTTGTCTTGACTAATGCATTTCTTATACAGCACACTGCAGCATGCTTTTTAGAAATGTGGTTTCAATATATTTCACCTTGTGTGCACTTTTATTGTTTAAATTAATTTTGCATTTCCCATTTGATGGGTTGATTTATTGATTGTGTTGAAATTGAACCGAAATATTCGGTTCCTGTTAACATATTTTACCTCTCACTGCCATAAATGCTTCAACATGATATCTGAAGACTAACATTGATGTTATTTCTGGTTGGTGATGACTAGCAGTGGAGTTTAAGATGCGCGCTTCGCCCTCTTTGAGACTCATCAGCGTTGTCACTTGCTAAAGATGCAAGTACATCCAGATGATGACTTTGACAGGATGAAGAAAAGCCTATCTTGTAGTCCACTGGTAGTTGCATCGTCAACCACCAGACCATTTTGTAGTCTATATATATATATATCATGCATGTTTCTTGTATATTCTTTTTTGTGTTTTCTTTTCAGAATGTTAAACTGTTTCAGAATTTCGCATCTCTGTTCACAGTTTCATCGTTTGCTGACTAATGCATACAGAATTGAGTGTGGTGTTATAAACACTGATATATGCATATATCTAGAAATACTTGATGACGTAATCGTTATCTGATGTGCAGCCTAATTTCTCTTAAATAATCTTCCTCCACCCCTTCTTTCTTCCTTCCTTCCATCCATCCAGTAATCCTTCTACCTACTAACCAATTTGTTACTTTCGTATCGTTCATCAGTGTTGTATGAATGTTGTTCATTCCAAGGTATTCACCTTTTTCGGCGATCAAATATATATATATATATATATATATATATATATATATATATATATATAAATATTATATCTTCTGATGTGATATATCTTTTAAGTACACTCCTTCTGAGAGAGAGAGAGAAAAGAAGTTATTGGATTCCCTATTTATCAAATACTTGTTTTTACATTTTATCATCTCCCTGTTTTCATACTCACCATATTTGAGATTATTTGAGTTTTTTTTGACTTGTCTGTTTAACAAGTGTGTCTAGTTACCGTACAATCTAATATTCTGTTGTGTTGCTTCCCTTTTCTGATGTATGCTCAATATTTTTTTTATATTTACATAACTTAGTCTTGTTTTGGTTTCTCTTTCTCCCCCCTTTGGTGCTGATTTGTAATTGTTCTCTATCACACACAGACACACGCGTACACTCTCGCCTCGTTACACATACTCTCGTGTTCTACTGTGATACCTTATTTATTTATTTATTCATTCAATCATAATTCATTCCGTTTTCATTATATATGCATTCCTTCCATTTTGTGTAGTGTTACTCAATCTCCACGTGCCTCTAAGATATATATATATATATATATATCAGTAATAATAATAATAACGATTTGTATGGGATTTTTTCTCCTGCAGTTGGCTTTTTTCTTTTCGTTGCCTTTGTTTCTGTCGTTTCTCGTTTGGTTTATTTTGTCATCAACTTTGTCATGTCGTGTCATATCGTGTTTTTGTTATATGGTGAATAAACTATGGAAGTGTTAAATGTCCGGGGAGAGGGGAAGGGAGCAAAGAGATGTTTCTTCCCACTGTGTGTGTGTGTGTTGAAGTGGACGCATGCATGCCTACCTGTTTCATTCTGGAAAACTCAAAGCAAAAACAAGATGTCATACGCGCATATATATACATATAATGATAAAAGTTGTATTTTGCAAAAAAAAAGAAAAAGACAACAACTCTTCTCATGACATATTTACACATTTTCACATTTTGTCCCCTCTCTGTCTCCCTCCCTCCCTCCTGTGACTGCTGCTCACATTTTGCTCTTTTCTACAAGCACAAATGTATTCAGAGTATATATTTCGTTGTAAATGTCAGTTTGTTTGTTGTTTGATGACTATAACACGGTTTCTTCGAGATCACTATCATTATAATAACTATTATTATTATTATTATCAATAGTGTTATTTATCCTTTTTTATTTCGTATTATGCCTATCATCACAACAGTAATTTGTTAAATTATTTATACAAACCCAGAGATTCTTATTCTACCTTATACACCGTTAATTGTCCCCTCTCCCCCCCCCGCCTCCCTTAGTGGGCTGAATGATCAACGAGCCACTGAGTGAGTGGCTGAAGTGTCGCAAAATAGAGTTAAAAATCTCTTCAGTACTACTCAGTTTTGTATGTCGTTGGTTCACGAGTAGAATACTCACTAGTCATTCTCACTTAATGTGAGGTTCGATTCCTGGCTGACGCGCACTCTTAGACCTCGTTTAGCCGGTAGCAAGTTTGGAGAAGAAGGAGGTTTGGGCGTATGAAGTCAATAAATTCACTCTGTAAAACAATACAAACGCTAATGAAACTTCAAAGCCTAGAAGGGGTGAAGCCTTATGTCATCCCAATTAGGATGCAACAGGAATGCAAAATAACCTTTTCGATGGATAAACTTTGACCTTTGGTTATTTTTACTTTGTTCGCTTAGGTTCCAAATTGAGCATAGGTCTTCACCAGCACATCTCTAAGGACAGCTCTCCTAGACTCGTACATTGTACGAACATTCTACGTAGCCATTCTTATTCTTGCTTTCATCAAAAGAAGACACATTGGCTGACTAAATGGCTTCCCGAAGACTTTGACCAGCTCGCGTTATTTTGTCTCTCCTACTCCTGTGGAAAACAAGTTTTTCTTATCTTATGCTTTGAAGTTTTTGTAACGATTAGATTTATATCCAAGGGTAGGCTCGCTAACCGGAATTACCACAGTCTAGAAAACTAGCGACCTTGAAAATTAGGCGACGTTGGTATTTCACTATGTACACATTTATCGTATGTGAATTACATTTCGGGGAATGCTAAAGCATTAGTTTACGCATCAAAGCGCTAATTTATTCAAAGATAACAGGGAATTAGGTTTTGATCGTGTTATTAACCAGTTCATCAGATTATCCAAAGGAGAGGTTGCATCATCATTTAATGCATAGATACTTTGTTTCTGGCGTAGACGTGATATCCAGCTACCGACCAAAGCAAATTTGTACGGGTCAGCAGTTCACGCTGCGCTTTGTTATTGATTCAAGACAAGGACATTGCCATTGGAGGACCTAAAATAGCTAGCTGTCTCTCATCACATAGATGTTCGCATTCTATTTCCCCTGTAAAGTGTTATGCTATGGTGATTAACATTATGTCTGGGCATAGAATGTTAGGTGAGGGGAGAAATTCAATCGATAGGGTTATGAAATTACATCTACTAAGATAGCTAGCAATGTTACTTCACAGAGGATCAACTGTGAAAAGAGTTAGAGATGGCCAAATCAAAGTACGGAATAAATCCATGTATTCCTTGATTGGATTATAAAATAATGCCATGCGTCTAGTCCTTTGTTTAATGTAGATGGAATTCTATCAATTGGGTTTGTTGTGTGACCAGCATTCTAGGTGACTTACCGTCATGACGAACTTTGAATTGTTGATTTCAGATGATTGGAGGCAATCAGCAGGAAGGGTTGAACTTAGGTTTCGTGCTTGTTCGCACTCACAAGTTACCAAGGCATATCTGTAATGGTTTGGGGGAACTCCAGTCCATCCAACTATCCAATAACAACAATTCTGAGTGCACTGTAATAGCGAGCCCCAGGGCATGGTGACTGCATTGTAAATTTTATTGATAGAATACATTTGGCACCAAACAAAGGAGTAAACGCACGACGCAAGTTAGTGTATAATGAAAGTGCCCAGCATACTTCTACAGGAGTTCAGTGGCGAGCCCGAATAGCTCAGTGTTGGTAAGGTCTCTGAATGGAGCATTCGGTGACGTGGTTTCGAAACTCTGAAAGGACATAATCTCCTTCAAGATTTCAAATATGCATTGCTGACAAGAGTACAAGTAAGAGACCTAGGTCGAAGGCTTCCTACCGATTACCTCCAACGATCTAATTAATCATCCAATGCTTTAACTGTTGGTTTTTCAATTTAGGAAAGTACTGACTGCCTGGTTGATGTCTTCAGGATGCTAAGAAGCAGTGGCGCTTGAATACCATAGCCACTACCCTTGGTCAGTTGTCAACATAGTGCATACAACGTAGTAAGAGAAAACATAACTAAAAGTGGACTGTAATTTACATCAGTGTTTATGTCCCCAATATTGGTCGTGAGAAAAATGAGAACAAAGGCTTTGCGTAGGCGGATATAGTTAATATATAGATGACTTTTTTTGTGCTAACAATAATCTATAATAATGTACATGAAAATCTAAAAATATGTGTTGATTTCCTCAATAAACGATCTGTTGCCTAGCCCTTGTCTTCTGTTGTTACAATAGTAGTGATATACCGTCTGGAAGGAAACCGCATTATAATTACAAAGTTAGGTGTAACGTCCATATATTGATAGAAATATTGGGATTTTCTAAATAATCTTCCCGTTACATTAACAGTTTCATGCCTGAGGCTGTTTCTCATCACACAAAATCTGTACCAAATAAGGTATTGTAGATATTTTGTATTGATTTGTGCTTCCAATTCTACATGAGGGAGTGCATCTGAAGATTAGTGAATAAAGAAATTGTTCGAAATCTGATAAGATGATCTGTGAGTTTAAACGTCTGTCTACATCCGTGTTAATGGATTGGATTAGAGGTGGTACACCATTCGCCCTAATGAATAGTTTTAGTTCCTCTCACAAAGTGTGTTGGCTTGCAGAGATTTGACTGGTTGTTACACGATTTCGTCATGAGCAAACATCAGTTAGAGAACTATTGGAAAACCAGCAGGAAATACTGGACAACTTTTTCCACTGTCCTAGTTTAGGAATATTCATCAATATGCACCCACCTCCAGGGTTCGAACTTACGGTGATACGGCGAGCTCGTAAACCACTCCATGAATTCCAGCTGCAGCCAATTCGTGATATAGTGCGCTTACTAGTATCGTCAGTATCGTCGGTGGGTATTTGTACCCACGCAGGAACTTGTAGACCCCAGTGGTCACGACTTTCCACCAGAACACAGGTGACTACCTACTTGAATATGACCAGTCGCTAGTGAGCATCAGATTTATATTCAAGTGTTGGTTGAGGTTTGACTGGTTCTAAGATTTCATATAGGTAGCCGAAGAAATATTAAAGGGTAGGGATAGTGAAGAATAAGCAAATTACAAGAGTTAAGCTGTAAAATTAAAGACTGAGTGATACCAGGGTTGCGTTTACTTCGTTACGCAAAAGGTTAGACGAAATATTTTTCTACGAATCAACTAGATGAAGGATGACCAGAAAATACCAATAGAAAGACCTAATCTAAGGTATTCAACATTCGACTTAGAATTCAGCTTCAGTGCCCTCTAATGACACAAGAATCAGGGAAAGTGAAAATAAAACATGTAGTTCAGTGAAGAGTTTCACCATCTTTGTTTCAGTAACACCCAATTTTCCTAACCGCTTACGTATCACGTAGTTCCCCTCAAAACTTACAAATTCTCACCGCACTTTAGTTAAAATAACCATAACCAATTGTATTTTTGTTTGACAAACTTAATGTACACATAAATACAAAA